TTGGGGATAGGGACATCGATATAGGGACCCCCGTTGGAGATGCTCTTAGACCCCGATGTTCGCCCCATGGCGAAGGTGTCGTCCGGTGTTGTGCGCAAACATATCAAGAGAAATACACCTTGGGGCTCGATGATGAAGTCTTTCTCCATCTGCATCTTGGGATTGTGTGACATAATTGGACAAACACAGTGGATTTTCAAGATCCATGTGTTGTGGCCAATCATGTTGAGTTATTTCATGTCGGTTGGTTTGATTTGTCATTGAAATCGAATTGCGAAGTATATAGGCCAATCAGAGTTGAACATTTAGAATTTACTTCGATTCAAAGTGTGGCTTAAAATCCTTCGTTGTCTGAATGACGTTTATATTGGACACAGTTGCACTACACACTATATACTACTCCAGTACTACTAGTAGTACTGTACATCCCAGGCTGTCGCCATGGATGGTACCGGTATGATCAAACAAAACACAAGCGCATCCGGTTACACCAGAAAACCCACCATTTATGCGGATACAGCAAATGGGGAATGGAACCACATGATCCATTCGACGCTCTAAAAAGTGCTCATAATATCGTCGTTTCTAGGCTTCTTGCACCATGTGTACTTCGAAGTACTACTTTGGTCCAAAGTAGCTGTCGTGTTGCATATTTTCGAAGGTGCAGTTTTGTTTGACTTATAATTTGTATATTTAATATATCATTTATATATGTTTAGTATATGGTATACAAACCTCAATATGATTAAAGCATATTTACTCTGTTCGACAAATTCAGTTCGACATAATGGATAAGTTCCCACTTATTCTTACAGTGTAGTGTTAACAAATCAAATACAATACCAGGTACCTCTTTCCTCGCTCGTCCTTCTTGACAACGAGTGCAGTTGATTCACAATGGGTGACCATGATATTACTCCCGAGTACTACCAGTATAAGCGATCGCGAACTGATACAGCACCGGTAGTAGAGTACTTCAAGCACGGACGGATACATAGGTACCTGGACATGCTGCGCTGTACATACGTCCATATGGATAACAACAGGAAAATACACAAAAACATATTTGATGTGGCATGCAAAACCGCCGGTAAATGTACGGTACCCCCATTTCAAACCATCATGCCATTGCCCGCTCCATGCGTCGACCCAAAGCACTACGTGTCTCGCCACTCGAGACGCCCACGATACCGGTACAGTATCTCCAGCGTCAGTCCACCAAAGGTAATCGATATGATTTAGTGGTACTAGTACCTACAGTAGTACTACAGTAACGTACTAGTAACTAGTAGTAGTAGTATTTTAATTCTTAACGTTACTGCAGATCCATATGTAGAATTTATCAAGTGGGCGATGTACTGCGGAGTACATCACTCGAGAGTTGCCACTCCTTTGGACGAGTTTAATGGTTTGACGACCATACCACGTTCGTGTGTTCCACTTTTGAATTTCCCAGGTGGCCAATACTAAGTATGTTTCCAACCTTCAAATCTGCTGCAGTCCTTGCTCTTGTGGCCGTGGCGTGCATCGAGGCTTGTGGTGTTGATCAATCTCTAGCGGCGCGTTGTTTGACTGATGCCCACCCCACAAAGTACCAATTATCCAAAGCTGTGGCTCGTATTCGCACCAGTGTTACATACTGCACAGCGTGGCTGTGGGGGTCGGAAGGCCACCTAATCACCAACAACCACTGCGTCCCGAACGAGAGCGTGGCCAAGGAGACCCGAGTCGAGCTTGGCTCCGAGTGCTCGACTTGTGCCGACCCCGGCAATGATGACCAAGGTGGCTGTGTTGGAACACTTGTCGTCGACAGCACCACGCTTGTGTTTACGGACTACGACTTGGATATGACATTGTTCAAGTTGAACGTGAGCCCTGACGTGAACTTGACCCAGTACGGCTACTTGCAATCCCGCGCCACGAATGTCACGTTGGACGACCAAATCTACATCCTGGGCCACCCCGGTGGCAAACCGAAACACATTGCGTTCTTGGGCGACGACGGCACGCACGCTCGCATCACCAACGCGTCCATGCCCGCGGGATGCGGTGAGAAAGACACGTTGGGGTACAACGTCGACTCCGAAAGCGGAAGTTCAGGCTCCCCCGTCTTGAGTCCAGACGACGACAAGGTCGTAGCGATGCACAACTGCGGTGGCTGCGAACTCGTTGGTCAAAACACAGGCATCAAGATGCCCAATATTGTCGCACTCTTGAAGTCCAAGAACCTGTTGCCCAAGGATGCAGTGGCCGATGACCTCTGTTAAGTGACTAACGTTATTGTTGTTGTTGTTCACACCGAGTGTTCAGAATTTTTTTCACTTAACAGTAAATACAACAAAAAAACTATATCCTATGTTCCAATTTACTGTTTAACTGTAAGGACATATTTTGGAGTCGCTGCCTGGAAATGGAAGCAGCTCTGTACTGAGGAATACCTTTCGACTTCTGAAAACTGATAATTCAAGAGGAAACACAGGTCTTTCTTTCTAGACGCTCTGAATCATTGATTTTCTCAGGGAGGTGCGGGAAGTGGCGAAAACTCATCATAACACGAAGTTATGGAAGCCCAAAATCCATGCATTTCTGGTTGGCGAAAGAAACACCTGGAGTTTCTTTGCACTCATCCAACTTGTTGGAGAGGGACATTGGTTGTTGTACTGACACGCTTTCTACCGCTCGCTGCAAGTGCGGAGCCTTGGATTCTGAAGTGCGCGCCGTTTCACTTTGAGAAACCGACACATGGCCAATTATATCGGGCACACCGCCAAATATATCGGGCATTCGTCCAAGTTAACTGCAAAAAGGTGTATCAATACTCGTACGTGTACAACATGTCACATGCATGCTCATACATCGGAAATGGACGAACTTTGATGATGCTTTTCTCGACTCGTACAGTACTACAAGGTAGTCCATTACTAGCTCAGCCTATGCAGCATGGTCTGTGCATACACAGCTCCTCTGGCATGAGGCATCTTACCCGCATGTACTGTACACGCTTGTTCGTAAAATACGACGAATTTGACAAGTTCGAAGTTGTCTTTCTCTACAGCTGTTGATTCAGGCGACATGCAACGAAGTGTTCTTGATAGTATTGGTTGTTCTGAGGAATACAGAGTTTCGTGACCCGTTGTGCAGTATACATTGAGAAATTGCAGACCTGCATCGCGCCTTTCCCGCATGTACGCGACACTCAGCGTACATGCGGGAAAGGCGCGATGCAGGTCTGCAATTGCAGGATGTAAAAATCGTTTGCAAAACGTAAATACCAAGGACTTACGAAAAATCCCGTAACCATCATTCTCTTTCAAAATAAAGTATGAACTTCACTATCGGAGTGTTGATCTTGTTTCGTAAATGGGTAAATATGTATAAATAATTGTGGGGATGAATAAAAATACGCATACTTAATACAAATATCAAAATAAAGATGTTCAAGCGAATAATAATATGTACTGTCGCGCGAATTACACGCGGTTTGTTTCCGTGTAAGTGGCAGATTCAGTTCCTTGTTTACTCGCACGTGACAACTTGAATAAAGTTGCATGTATTCCATCCACAATGGTACACCATGATTTGAAGGAATCACCTTTACAGTTAAGTCTTCATAAGCTTAGTGATGTGTTTGTGTCCTGTCCCAGTATCTATCATGTCCTAATGTCCCATTTTCCAAGCAAAATGTCAAGTTGTGAATTCTGCCAACCCTGTGTCTCCTCACATCTGCTGCGTAAAACACTCATAAAACGGACGATGACCCATGAAGATCTGGCCTATCACAACCCACCACGTTGTACATCTAGCCAATCACATCTCATCACGTCCCCGAATATAGACCAGTAGTTAAGCCGGCTTTGAACTCCCACTTCTAACCTCACTTTTGGTTTTACCGCCTCCTACACCTGTGATCTGTTCCGTTGCTTGACAACTCCGAAACACCTGCGCCAGTGCTTCTTTCTTCTCTGCCATCCATCTGCTCGTTCAGTCTCTTCACTCAAAACACCTCAAATGTAGAGTCTGGATTTGACCTTATTACAGTAGAGGTGTTTAGAGCATCTCCACCGCGCCCAGTAAATTGGCCAATCAGTAAATCTGTGTGCTGATTTACTGAAAATTTACTGAAATATTTTCGCACCGCACTATTATCCGGTTCAGTACTTTGCTGACCAGCAAATATTCCAGTAAAAGTCACACAGATTTGATGGACTTGTACAGTACTCCCTCCGTGTCACTATAAGTGCGCGACTCAGAAAAATATAGTATACCTCCTCGTATAAATATACAAAACACTCCAAGATCCTATAATGATCATGCATTTATAAAGGTGTAACGATACAATTGTCTAATCATGACAATCAAAATGCATGTCTCAGGACCAATCACGCGTCGTTAGGTTGCGCTTTTGACGGTCATACCTGAATGTTTGTCATTCTGAGTGTTTGTTTTATATAAAGTATTTTATTGATGTATTGAAATCATCATAGCGCCTTCATTTCGTTGAATTTCCCGCTCGAAGTTGGAGCAAATCGGGGGTTTTGGCACTGGCTTTCGAATGGTCCAATCAGAGCGACTACTTTTGAGCCCAAGAGGGCGATTTCGATTGTCAAAAATGTCTTGAGAATATAATGAGAAGTCATGTCAACTCTCCTCTAGGTCGCGCACTTATAGTGACACGGAGGGAGTACTGGATTTGCTGGAGTCAGTATCCGGTTATAGTGGCCGGATAACGACATCGGTGCATAAAAATGTACTACGAAGCGAGCAGCCTCCAGGGTCGGTGATGATGGCATAGGTCGAGGTGCAGATGTGACGGCCCTGGCACGGTATGTATGCCGCAGTCAATAACTTATGACTTGTGGTGATGACTCTTGCGGCGTAGGTCAGTTGCGGCCGATAGCGCATTCTCCTGCGGTTGGTGCTGCCGTGGCAAGTTTAGGCGGCAGTCGACCG